AGAAAGTATATTTATATCTTTGAAGTATTAAAGTTGCATTTGGTAAAAGAACAAACACGATTAGAAGAAGTATGGTTGAGAGTCCTCCCTGGTGGCGCAAGGGTTTAAGCACAGCACTGTGAAGCTAACCACAGCCACTGCAGCACGAGTTCAATCCCCAGCCAGGGAACTACCCACATGGCACAGCAGACCTCTCCTGACTCGCCTGCTGCTTCCCTCAGCAGTGTATTTCACTCAGTCTGCCTGGTCTGCTCCCCACTCTGTCTCTGGTGAATCCTCTGACCTCCTCACACCTCTGGCCTATACCCCTGTTCTTGTATGCATAAATAAATAAATCTTAAAAAAAAAAAAAAGGAAGAAGGATGGTTGAATGACAAAGCCACAGGGTGGACCAGGCTAGATTGCCGCTGACTTTTCTAACCGCCTAACTCTCATAGAACGCAAGCCCTTATCCCCAGCATCTGAGCCACTAAATCCTCGGTGATTCACATCTTATAAAATCAAATGAGATTAAATCACACGTGACCATTCACTTTCATAGTCAACTGCAAATATTACTAGGAAGCTCTAGATTGGTGGTATCTGGATCCCTGCCAATGCAACCTCAGCTCCCTGGATACTAGTTCCTTAAGGAGTCTCGTGGGAGCTTCCAGCTCATTCTTTCTTCACTATAACATAACTATCAGAGAGCTCAAACACCAGAGGATCCATTGGGTAATAGCAGGAAAGCTACGGTTGACCAAAAGTTTTATGGTACCCAAGGCCCACACTATACCTTGGCTTCTGCCTAGAGAGAGATCATCTATTCTGGGATCCATTTTGTTTGTCTTCCCTTTTCTTTTGATTGGAGATAACCTGAGTTCACAACACCGTGTAGGTCCCCAGAGTGTGTTTTCTCACCTCAGCAACTGCCTATATCTCACCACACCCAGTGTCTGCTCACCATCAGCTGTGCCTCTGGCCGTGCCTCTGGCTTATGATCACAAAATACACACAACATGAAGGAAAGTATTGTGCGGGAAAAAAAAAAAAGATTTTTAAAGCAGCACTTTATTATAAGTCATTCTGATTCTTGTGAGTTTATACATGGAAAATATAATAAAGATGTAAAGGAAAAACTCCTCTTACACAGCAATAAAATGTGACCTCTCAATAAGGAAATGAGGGATGTTGCTTGGGCCAGATTTTCTTGGCGGGGACAGCAACTGCTCTTCCCCATTTTGATCATTCCCCACAGCTATATAGACTTTAGGGTTACCCAATAACACTAAGTGAAACTTTTCTGCCTTAATTCTTTTGCATGGCATCTACCCCCAGAGAAATCATTTATTTGGACCATCACAGGGTTTGGACCAGAATAAAAGGAGTTTTAAAGCTGGTAAGAAGTGGTGTTGCCTGGGGAGGAAGATTAGGGGCAGAGAAATGAACACTCTGAGTCTGTTTGTGATCAGTAACGGCAGGTAAATGAAGGTTCAAAGAGATCAGGTGCACAGTGTCCTGGAGAGAGGGCCTGGCAGCCTACACTGCTTTTTGTGCTACTATAAACATCAATGTAAATGCACAGCAAAAATTCTCACACACGGTAAGAACACACACATAAGCTTAGCCTCCAATCCACACGTGTGAGGCAGCCTGCAAGTATAAACAAGTATAAACAAGAGAAAAAGCACTTACTCCCAATAAGTTTGCCATCCTGCAGATATCACAGATATGTGTTCAAAAAACACAACAAAACTCTGACCTGGTCAAATATGAACAGCAAAAACGTGCTGCAGGAAGTTACAGGAACTCATGATTCAAATATTTTTAAAACTTTTTCAAAGTAGGGCCTCCCTGGTGGTGCACTGGTATCAAACTATCGCCAGTCACTGTGGCCTGATTTCGATCCCGATCCCTGGCGAGGGAGCTGATCCACATGGCACAGCAGACCTTTCCTGACTATGCCCACTGCTCCCCTCGGCAGTGTATTTCAGTAGATCTGCCTGTTCTGCTCCCCACTCTGTCTTTGGTGAATCCTCTCACCTGCCTCACCTCTGGTCTACACCCTAGCTCTTGTATGCATAAAGAAAGAAAAATAAAAAATCTTAAAAAAAAAAACTTTTGAAAGTATCACTTCTTTGATAACAAGATGGAATTGGCACAATTTTTAAGAAGACATACCTCTGAGCCTAAGAGGCTTACAGGTTGTTAAAGTGACAAGTAGGTACCTGTAAAAATAGCCAGGAAGCCTCTCCTTACTCCCTAGGAATGTGTAGAGGTTCATATGCCTACGTAAAGGTTTTCTGAAAGTGGCTGTGTATCTTCAGAAAGCAAGACACCATTCTCAAGGCAAATAACATTTCTCAAATCTTGTGAATTTGACTTCTACCCGGTTATTCCATCCAAACAACTTTTAGTGAGATCTTGTTAAGATAATCTCATCATTTTGCCGAAAGCAAAATATTACACAGCCACCAATGTACCCATAATAACAGACTATTCTGCTCTTGCTTTCCATTATGTTCTTAGGAAGATGCAAGAGAACATATAATCTGAGTTCAAAATTTAGGATTTATGTTGTGCATTTGGATTCCTCTCCCCTTTCTCAAGTTCTCAGAAGGAACTGACTATGCAGTGACCATTTACCTGAATCCCACTGTCATCACATACAAAATCTGTATCTTAAGTGAGCCTGGCCAACAAGAAACACACATGGAGAAGAAAGAATGTCTACCCTCAATGGCCCTAAAACCTCATAGAAAGGACCAAAATAATCAATCTGTTTAGTGTAAGTTCCTCCATGTTAATTATACTATAAAGTATTCTACATGGTAACTTCTCTTAATCAGTAGTGACTATCTTAATTCAATCTTAAGCAAATAACGTAATAGACCCTATCAAATGACTTAGGTATTTGAAAACAATCAGTTTTAACTACTAATTTCTCTCACCCTAAAACTTTCTCACAATATAAAAATTATATTGACGCTACCTCACAAGATACCCTCCAATAGAAATCTTAAACGGAGCTAAATGCACACAGTACAAATAAAAATTATTTTAATCTCTTAATGATAACATAAATCTGCTAAGAACTGTTTGAATCCAATGTGATCATGGTTATCACAAACAGCTCATTGACTCTGAAAGAAAATGACCCACTCCATGGTTTCTGCTTGCTCTCCTTGAAAAGTCTCCAAAATACATAAATTTCCAATAATCACAGTGTAAACACTAATGGAACTGCCAAGTTTTTGAAACTATTATGTTCAGCTCATCATTTTGAAAAAAGTAACCAAGCTCGTTCTATCAATATTAACAGCAAAATGCATGTGTGAACCCACCAAAGCAAACTTCCTGTGAGCAAAGGACCCCAAAGTAAACATTCATGTCCATGCTTCTTAAATACACAACTACTGACCCAGGCACACATTTGAATCTTTATTTAGTGAATCTTAGCATCATTCTTATGCCCAAGCTTTCTTATAGTCTGTAAAGCACTGGTTCTCAAAGGTGGTCTCAGGGCCAGCAACACCAGCATTATCTGAGAATTTATGAGGAATGAAAATCCTCAGGTCTTACCTCAGAACAACTGGGTTGTTGGAAAAGTCACAATGTATTTTTTTCTGTTTTTCAAGCATGACTTTTCTGATAACCCCAGGTGTTAGAAACTCTGGGTTGGGCCCAGAAACATGTTTCAACAAATCCTACAGGGGTGATCATGATAGAAGCAAAAGTTTGAGATGCTATGTGCGAAAGCAAAAAAACATGTGTGTTCTCTTACTATAAAGCGCCCTTGCTTTGGAGCTGGAGATTTTATAGCCTAAGATGCTATTATATTTTATAGAATATTCAAATACTCTTGATGGATGATACCCATTAAAAAATGATCCATTTAGTGAAGATTGTCGAAAAAAGCAAAGTCTTGATAAGTGTTAAAATATTAATTTTAACTAAAAGTTTGGGTTGCAAAGGACAACGCGGTTAACTGGAACAGTTTAATATTAGAGATAAAAATGGACAATGTCTTGTCTCTTGTTACTACAACAGATTTCCCCTATGATAAAATTCAAACAGATTAGAGTTGATTCCAACTTTACATTTTGTATTTTACGGGCCCAGAACTTGTGATATTTATATCAAAGTCGGCCCACATGATGGATGAATGAATAATACAGGTCAGAGATGTTCCTATTCACGGGTCAAGGGTAAGCTGATGAGAGTACACCAAGCCCCGACTCTATGGCCTGTGTTACCACAAAGATTAAGAAAAACCTTGAAAATCAGCAAGCAGAAATGGATTAAAGATGAAGATAGGCACCTCAACTTCTTCATAACTGTACAATGAACACCAAGAATTAAGCTTTAGGTAGAGCAGTATTTTCTCCCCTTTCTATGAGATCGTAGATCAGTTTTACAGCAGGATGCATTTTGATGATTATTTAAAAATTTGTGTCAATTTCACTTTAAGAATTTCAGCTCCACTTTCTTCCCTGTACAATTGCTATTACAGTATGTGCATCATAAGGCTGCGTGTCTCGAATTTTCCTATTCCCCTCGGAGTTCTGTAAAGCCCACATTTGGGGTGTGAAGTAACTAAAGTAGTGTGATTCCCACTTTACAGCAGATTTCCCACTGGAATGCTAATCTTTTGAGAATTGTTAAAATTTAAGGAGAGAAAATACTTTTATAGAACAACACAGAACTTGCATGAATAATTCAAATTTCACAGATGTCACTGTCATTCTGGAAAAAAACACTGTATATTCTTTTAAATGCCCTTGAAGATAATGATACACTTGCATATGTCTAATTTTCAGTTACATTAAAGGGGTAGCATCAAAAAATCAGAAATAAAAAATATCATAGCATGGGTTAATAAAATAACTTGGCTAACATAGATAACAGATGTCTTTATAGTAAATTTCTGTGCATGACAGCTGGCAGACCCCTTTAAATGAATATCACAAAACTGTGCCAGTTCAAATTCATTTACATTAGAGAAAATCTGGACGTAATACCTGAGACTGTGCGTTAATATTGGCTCCTTCCTTAACAAGAACTTTGACGACTTCTGCTTGTCCCGCCAAGGATGCAATATGCAAAGCAGTGTTTCCCTTCTGTGTGGAGCAAACAAAGGAAGAATTATTAGAAGTTTCCAAACTGCATAGAAATAAATATGTTTAAGCCTTTCCTCTTTAATTAATTAATTTTCTTATGTCATTTTCATTTCTCAGCAGTGTTTGATGGTCCCCCTCGGGGGTCCTCCCCATAGTTTCCCCCACAACATGGCACCCATGATCCATCACCACAGTCCCTAGTGCTCTTCCTTCCCCTGTTCTGACCCCCTCTCCTGCCCCTCTGCTGCTGTGGGCCTCAGCAATGTGGTCAGCTTGCAAGTTTTGTTCTTTTCCTGACCCTTTGTTTTTTCTTTATTCCACATATAAGTGAGACCATCCAGTGTTTATCTTTCTCCATCTGGTTTATTTTGCTCAGCATAATCCCTTCCAGGCCATGTTGCTACAAATGGCATGAGTTTGTCTTTTTTGATCAGTGAGTAGTATTCTATTGTGTATAAAGACCACATCTTCTTCATCTAGTCATCTGTTTGGGGGTGTTTAGGTTGTTTCCATATCTTAGTTATTGTAAATAAAGCTGCAGAAAATGTGGGAGTGCAGGTTTCTTTTCAAATTAGTGTTTTTGTGTCCTTTGGACAGATTGCTAGGAGTGTGGTTAAAATTTGCCTTTCTATTAAGGTAGGGATGATTGAAAAGGGATATTGTTGTTTTGGTTTTTTGTTTTTTTTTTTTTAAGATTTATTTATTTATTTATACAAGCACTGGGTACAGTCAGAAGTGAGGGAGGATGAGAGAATTCACCAGAGCCAGAGCAGGGAACAAAACAGGCAGACTGACGAAATACACTGCTGAGGGGAGCAGTGGGCATGGCAGGAGAGGTCTGCGCGCCATGTGGGACTCTTGCCAGCAGCCGGGGATGGAACCAGCGCTGCAAAGGTTGCGGGCAGCTTCACTACCCAGCGCTCAACCGCTGCGCCACCAGGAGAGGCCCAAGAGATGTTGTTTCTACTGTTCATTTTACTGCCACCCCATTCCGTGTCTTTCTTTTCTGTTCTTCTGTTCATAATTCTGGTGTCATGTTAGAACATAGGAAGGCTAAGTTCTCACTGAATCAAATAATTTGGGACGAGTGTGTGTGTGTGTGTCTGTGAGAGAGAGAGAGACAGAGAGAGAGAGAGGAAATAATGTCACTATTTGTAGGATATAATCAACACCTAAAGATTACTCCTTCAAGGAAAAGCTAGCTTAAAATAAAAATTTACTGAACCATTAGGTTTATTTCATTTTGCAGAGAAACCTAGGAATTTTCAGTGGTTAAAAAACTAACTTAACTCAGCTATATTTTCAGACACTAGAGCACATGGATGTTGCTCAAAATATTTTGGGAATGAAATCAGAGACTTTACATAGAGTTATCAGTGATTTCTACCATTTGCTGCATCAGAATTCACACCCATAGCACCAAGCACAAATGAAAAGTCATTTAATCTTTTCATGAAATAAAATATAGGCTAAGAGACTAAGAGTTGCCTGTGATGTGATTGAAATGAATAACAAAACAAAAAAATGAAGCACACTGAAGGCTATGGATTCAGCTGTGTACATTCTGGACACTCATTTAATTTTTGCCACCAACTTACTATGGGAACTTTTGGCAATTCACATGCTACCCTGAGGGCTCTAGTGCCTTTTCTTTAACTGAGGAGATTTAACTATTTTTTTCTGGATCTAAAATTGTTCCATTAAATCTTTAATTAAAAGTGAACCCATATTTTAAAATATCAGTAGCGTTTAAAAGAAAAAGACACTAATACACCCTTCAGCCACCATCAATGGCTTTTTAAATGAATATACTACATTAATATGAACAAGTCAGGGGAAGCAAATAATATGATAGCTAAAGTGCTCTTTAAAGACTCATTCAACATTCACCTGACTGGTCACAAGCGTTGTTGACAGGTACATGAGCTTGTGCTGTGTTTATGTTCAGAGCAAGGAGTTTATAGCATACAGTGAACTTACATTTTAACTTCTTTGGACCCGCCAGTGGCTTTTGCTTTTGTTTCTTAATTAGCAACAGAATGTCTGCATGCTCTGCTGTGAGCAGGACCCGCCTGCATCTCAGCAATCATGGGTGAGGTGCTATGAGGGCAGCTAGCTGGCCCCCGGCCGCCTTCACTGCCGCTTTGGTTTGTGTTTCCTTAGGGAGGCTGATTCTCCTACCTTGTCTGCAGACCCTGGTGTCCCACAACCATGTTAATTATCACAATCCCCTCCTGGTCCGTTTCTTCCAAGTTAAAATGTGACTCCTATATATTTTTTCCAAATTAAAATTTCACCTTTAAAAACAAACATCTGTCAACACTGATATTTTTTAAAATCTCTGTTGCTTTTGAAATGATTCCTGAAGATGAGGCTGAAATATACTTTAGCCAAAGTAGTGTGAACACTGTGCCAGATATGCCTTGTCCATGTCTTTAAAAAGGAATCTAGGGCCTCCCCTGGTGGCGCAGGCGGCTGAGCGCAGCGCTGTGAAGCTGTCCTCAGCCTCTGCAGCGCCAGTTCAATCCCGGCCGGCTGGCGAGAATCCCACATGGCACAGCAGACCTCTCCTGTCTTGCCCGCTGCTCCCCTCAGCAGTGTATTTCATCAGTCTGCCTGTTCTGTTCCCTGCTCTGTCTCTGGTGAATCCTCTCACCCTCCCACACCTCTGGCCTGTACCCCGTTTCTTGTATAAATAAATAAATAAATCTTTTTTTTAAAAAAAGAAGTCTAATTTCTTTACACATACACACTAGAGTGACAAGATCAAATTTTACACTAACAATTCAATCCCTGACCCAAAATGCCTATGGCATTAGACTATAAAGGACTCTGTATATTCGCATGCCAAGTTAAATAATTAAAAGACATAAGTTTAATTAAAGGAGGAAAATTACTCCATTTCCACTGAGTTTACCACATCCATTTATTTTTAAGAGGAAGCCTTTTTTTATTTTATTTTTTTAAAGCTTGCTTTATTTATTTATTTATTTGTTTGTTTATTTATTTATTTATTTATGCAAGCACTGGGTACAGTCAGAAGCGCGGGAGGGTGAGAGAATTCACCAGAGCCAGAGCGGGGAGCAGAGCAGGCAGAGTGACGAAATACACTGCTGAGGGGAGCAGCGGGCGGCAGGAGAGGTCTGCACGCCATGCGGGTCCCTCACTGGCGGCCAGGGATTGAATTGCCTCTGCAGAGGCTGCAGGTAGCTTCACAGCCCAGTGCTCAACTGCTGTGCCACCAGGGGAGTCCCTAAACCTTTTTTTTAAAAGGTGCTATTGTGTACAAGAAAATGTTAATTGGTTTCTATGTGAATCAAAGGAATAAAGATAAATTATTAGAAACTGGGTTTATAGATTTCTTCAGTCCCATATCAGATAGTTCTTTAAATGAAACAAGTCAAACACTACAAACTTTAATGAAAGCATTTCAATTTCAGTTCTGCAGTAACAAACCTGGTGTTGCAGCAAACCTCTGATATGTATAACCAAGGAAAGGAAGTTTTTAATCATTTGTTCTTTTTAAGGAAAATAAGTTTTACCAGCATGGACTTTACCTTCGTAGCGGAATCCACTGCGGAACCTCTTCCCAGCAGCTCCTGCACCAGCCCCACGTGGCCCTCCTTGGCTGCCAGGTGGAGAGCGTTGAGTCCATTCTGCGAGGAGAAACAAAGAAGGTTTAAGAGGTGGAATAATGAGGAAAGCAAAACTGTAGATGTCATGTGCTAAATCAGCCTGCAGAACAGAGAGGCTTCACCTCTCACTGATGTCTTTTTGCATTAACTCAAAGCTTATACAGTCAGAAAGACCATTTTCAACAGTTGTGAATTAGAGACAAAAAGGTAAATATTTATTAGAAATCTGGATTTGGGACCTTTTTCAACAGGTTTTTTGTTTTTTTTCCCCACTAACAAATATCTAAGAACTTCTCTAATGAGGAAAGTAAAGAGCAACTATGTGCTATTTTTTTTTTAAAGATTTAATCATTTATTTATACAAGAACCAGGGTACAGACCAGATATGCGGGAGGGCAAGAGGATTCACCAGAGACAGAGCAGGGAACAGAACAGGCAGACTGATGAAATACACTGCTGAGGGAAGCAGAGGGAGAGACAGGAGAGGTCTGCCACGCCATGTGGGATTCTCACCAGCCGGCCAGGATCAAACCTGTGCTGCAGAGGCTGCAGACAGTTTCACAGCGCAGCACTCAACAGCCTGCACCACCAGGGGAAGCCCTATGTGCCATTTTTGATGCCAGCCAGAAATAAATAAATGTCCAGTTTCTGGAACACAGAGATTGTTAAAGAAATTGTCTTACTTTTTAACAAATGGAGAAGGAATACCCTTTTCATAACAAGTGATTAAAAAGCCATAGTATAATTTCATAAAATCACTGCAATAACACTATACTGAAAAGATATTTTTTTACAAGATGACCCTACTTTGTCTTGAGGGTTTTTTCAAAAAGTTAAAATCCATCTTATAATGTCTGATAGTACTATAATTTCTGGTCTTCATATCCAAATCCCTAAAAAAAAAATCACCCAGCATAGCACGGAAGACATTCATTTAAAATTTTGCAAAACATGGTATCTAAATATAGTATGGTGACATGAACTTTGAAAGCAGATCTTACCAACATATAAAAAATGGACTGTTATATAGCAAATGTCCTATTTGTGGTTATTGTACTATACTTAATGCCTTTGTTATGAAAGCATTGGGGTTTTCATATTTCACTCAAAAATAAAGTAATATTTGTTTTTTTTTCTCTGCAAAACATGGTTCCTGGTTTCTCACAAATGAATCAACAATATAATAAAAACTTGAGTTTCAGATCTCTGGGTTTTACCAGTATAGAAATGGTGTTAACTTTGTTAACTGTACACAAACGATTCAACAAAGACAAACTTGCACTGCTTTTCCCAAACCAAGGAAAACATTATTTTGTAAAGTTGCTTTCTGATCCATTTACTCAAAGTCTGGTCTCCTTGGAAACAGGAAGTAATTAATTTGAATAGACATAATCTACATCACAAACAGAAACTAATTCAGATGGAAAAGGAAGGAAAGCAGTGTAGAGATTTGATTGTACTATCATTTTTATTATTAATTTGTTTTATCTTTAATTGACGTAATATCCTGACACCCCCATCAGGTATCACCACCTTAGTGCACCCACCACTGAGTTACCCACACCCCACCACCATTGTGCTTCCTCTTTGTTCTTAGCCCACTGGCTATGCAGTTGTTTGTTTTACTTAAATATTAATTGTTTTATAAATCTATTTTTTTAATTGTGGCACCATTAGGACCCCCCACCCACCACTGAGTCATCCACATTCCACCACCATAGTTCACTGTGCTTCCTTCCCTCTTTGCCCTACTCCTCCACCCCACCCACCACCCACCCCCTGGGCTGCAGTTCCACACTCAGCTTTCAAGAGTCAGTTTTTCAGCTTGTCTTGATCTCACCCACAGTTTGGTTTCTCTATAGTCCACATATTAGTGACACACTTCTGAGCCTTGATCAAGTTTAACAAGGCACTTCCTGAGCAGTAAGTGGCAACCATGGGGGCCAGACAGCCCAAGCAGAGGGGCTTCAGGGCCACAGGGCAGGGACCATCTGCTGAAGAAGAAGGAGCAGAATGACTCTGTAGCCCAAGGGGGATGAAGGCCTGACATGTCATGGGGTCCTCTGGACCACACAGCTGTCTCCTGCAAGAACATGGTTTCTCGAGCCCGTGGACTGTCCAGGTAAATGCAATCAGCAGGAATAAAGCCCACTGGAACTGACCACAGGGCCTGGTGTCAGTGATCTTGTTGGACCCCCTGCATGTTGGACAATGGGTAGGTCACAGGAGCTTCTTGAGCAACATCACTTTTGCTTTGGGGGTCCGTGGGCACCACAGTGTCTGGAGCCCCTGAAACTTCCTGCCCTTATGGGGCCATGTCCATCTGCATGTCCTTCATGCTCGTGGCCCTGAGGCCAGCCTGGCCTGGCCCCACCATCTGTGCTGATATCACGGTCACTGACAATGAATGGAAACCAACCAAAGCAGATGACTATTGACACATCCTTGATAATGGCTTTATGTAAATTAGATATTGATAAAATCATATGAACTTCAGTCTTTGGAAATAATCAACAAATTGTCACTGAGCTTGTACTGAAGCAACCTATTGGGCTTGTTGATCTGTAAGTCCCTGAGCTAGTATCACCTGTCATTCTACATCTTTTGGAATAATGCCATTTCTATACAATAGCCATTAAAACATGAAATACTACAAGTAGTTAAAAAAGAAGATCTTAATGCTACTTTGAAACAACTATGTATACATGAATCCCGCCTAAAGGATGGGTTTTCTTGTTTGTTTACCACTTCTATTAAATTTTTATAAAGCAGTATTATAACATTTTGTTTGCAATCAGGTTTTACAATAAGCTCCATTCGCCATTTCTCTTGCTGAATTTAATGACATATTCTGCCCACTGACAGCTCTTCTACTGCCATATAAAACTAGGGTCACATAAAACAGGTAGTACAGACAACCAATAAAATTTTTCATAGAGGGCCTCCCCTGGTAGCGCAGGCAGTTGAGCGCAGTGCTGTGAAGGTGTCTGCAGCCTCTGCAGTGCAGGTTCGATCCCGGCCGGCCAGGGAGCTACCCACATGGTTCAGCAGACCTCTCCTGTCTCACCCGCTGCTCCCCTCAGCAGTGTACTTCGGTCCTTCTGCCTGTTCTGCTCTCCCCTCTGGCTCTGGTGAATTCTCTCACCCTCCCGCACTTCTGACTGTACCCAGTGCTTGTGTAAATAAATAAATAAATCTTTAAAAAAAAAAAAAGTCTCATAAGTGAGTGAGTAACTGATAAGTGATTCTGCATGAAACAGGCATTCTCTGGTATATGCTACTTTGTTAACTCTGCATTGTTTCTATCGGAATTTAATATTTTGCGCAAAACTGGCTACTCACTGGACTCTCAATGGAATAGGGGATAAAGATACCAGAATTGGCTGCAGAACTCAGGTGGGTTCTATTCTCTCTTCTTGCTTCCTCTCCTTGGAGACCCTCCCTCTCCAGTCTCCCCCTTGGCCCCTAGGGGCACGTCCTCTTAATTCTGCTACAGTCTCCTTCCCTTTCATACCAATGTTACAAATTCTATGTTAGATGGAGAAAATCCAGGTTTAAGACCCCATTTTAAAATGAGTTGACTGACAATAAATGAGGCAATGAGAAGTATAAAAGATAATACTTAGTCTCTGGATATTTTCTTGAAAAACCTCTTCGAATTATGCTCTTATGATCTGTCATCTCATCTCAGAACCACAGAATTGTATTACCGTAAGACACTTAAGGGATCAACCAAGCTCAAACCTTTCCTGTTTTTACTTTAAGTTGAAATGAGCCAAGCCTGGCATGGGTATGATTCCATAACATTCTAGAATTCATTACAGAATTCTTTTCTAACTTTGACACATTTTGGATATTATATATCTAGTGGTCTAGAGGAAATAATTTTTCTCCTTAAGTAGCACCTATCAGAGACTGACTTATTTCCTATTCCACCGAACACAAACTACAATTCATGAGAAATTGGGGGGTCTAAGGAAAGCGAAATAGGATTAATGTAGAGTCTATAATTTTTTCCAACTGTGGGAATTAAGTATAGTTACTGACCTAGAATCACCATGTAGTTCATAACTCATAATGGTTACTTCATGCTTATATGAGTTAATATAATTAAAAGCTTAGAATTGAGCCTGACATATAATAATAATGTTTAATGAGTTTTAGCAGATATTTAAGTAATTTGCTGCTAATTCTTAATTTTAGCATTTAAATCATGATGACTATAATAAGTAACTCAAATAATTATCTGTCTTTGAAGTTCATATAGTGTTTTGCTTTAATGCTTGGTAATTCAAATATTAAAGAAATAATTGACATATCATTTCTTATAAAAATTAATTTAACCAAACAAATGAGGCCTTGCAAAAATTGACATTTAAGTGAGAAGAGGGAAAAGTTTCAGTAGTAAAACAGCAGCTCTTTGAGTTATGAATTATGGAATTTTCTTCTCCTTATTCATGAGAGGTGGGGGTAGCCAGGGCTCACCCTGCTCCAAGGTGTGTTCTCAGGAGCTTTTGTTCATCTGCATTTTGGACTTGTTCATCCTAACCTGAAGACTTCTCATTTCTGAGGAAAGATGCTGAATAGACACTAAGTATAGAACTACTTGACCATTTCAAGTTACTTTTTATTTATGCATAACATTTTTTATTTATGCATAAATACTTTTTATTTATGCATAAACAAGAAGTGGGCTATAGGCGACAGGTGCTGGGCTTGAGAGGATTCACCAGAGACAGAGTGGGGAGCAGAACAGGCAGATGTTCTGAAATACACTGCTGAGGGGAGCAGCGGTCCAGTCAGGAGAGGTCTGCTGCGCCATGTGGGTCACTCCCCTTGCACCACCAGGGAGGCCCTCAAGTTATTTTTACACAAGTTCATTAATAGCCAGATAGCCCTTGATGGCAGCCCCGCAATGGGTGACTATTTAGCATTGGACCCGAAATCAATTCTACACATCTATTTTCTTCATTCCTAAGTGCAAAGACATTATCATCTCAAATAGATTCAAAGATTTTGAA